TGAAGCTCAAGCAAAATCTTTAAGTTTACTTCATGAAAAAATAGCCAAAATGCAATTCATAACTAAGAATTTTTCAGGTTTTCGAAAAAAATCGCTCGAAAATTTTTGACCCCAAAATTTGTTGACACTTTTAATAGAATCTTCAGATGTAAAAAATTGAAATCCAATCATATAACTTATATTTTCTTGTATCACATTAGTGGTACATAAAAACGTGATTTTGAAAAGTGAGATAAACGCGATAGATCAGTGATTGGAAATAATTCAATTATTGGTAATCAAAGAAGTAAGTGCTTTTTTACGTTTATCACTTATCGATATTGAGTAACTTGAGGCGATGACGACTGAATGAATAATTTGACATACATTTACGATTATCTATCTACTTTCTATTACATAAAAATGACTGCCTGATCTGGGCATACTAAATTGAAAGAAAGATCATTCAATCGTTTTCGAATTTTTTATTTTTCAGCGCAAATTATTTCGTGAAAATTGCCTTTTGCATTATCAACAAAACCACTTTGATGCATTTATATTGACCTTATTTTCCAACTGGCTTTACTTACATTTACGTCAGCATAGTAATTGAAACAATTAAAGCATTTACGAAGCTCACACACTAGCACTCAAACTTAATCCTTTTTAGCCTTCTCCGAGGGTAACTTCACTTCACCATGGAGATTAGTAAGTACTGCAATCAAGTATTATCCTTTTTTTCAAATTTTTCCTCTGTGTCAAAATTATCTTCAAATTTTATTTAAATGTGAAAATAATGAAGTACATTAATGTCGTATAGAGATGAACTGACTGACTCTAAATACAACGATAATTCTTCTACACAGTATCATTTTTCCTTGTTTATTTACTTGCTTATTTTTGCTTTTGTTTTTTTGGAGTCGTAATTATTTTATTTAGAAGCCAAAACTCGTTATTTTTCGGTATATAAAACTATCCTTCAATCTCTTAGATGCAGATTATGAATAAATTTTCAGCTAAATACAAATGGCAAACTTGAAAGTAAATAATTGTGCTCATCAAAAATTAAACGAGTGAAAAAAATCGTGCAGTAATATATGACTAATACTTATTTTTTTACATCAGTTGCTAGTTGGCGATATTTCTCTAATTATGATTATTTCTACTTGTTGAAGTTGAATTTTACGTCAAAAATTCACAGAAATTTAATTTTAATTCTTGTCATTCTTCACTTTTACTTTCACTTTCACTTTCACTCATTTTTCATGATATTATTTAGAATTCAGTCACTTCACTTTTATGTTATAGCAAGTTAAATTTTTTACTTATTAGTCATACAAGTCATTAAAAATATGTTGCACCAGAAATTATTACTGCAAGACATTAAATTCAATCGTTTCAGCGTAAGTCGAATTAAATTTCAACTCTACAAAATATTGAAAATACAAGGAAATTAATCAAGAAAAAACTTCAAATAAATCGAAATAAAAACTCTCAATGTGGTAATTTTAGGTGGAAAAATCCTTACTTTCAATACTTTTTCAAGACTCAACAGAGTTCAGCATTTATCAGATTATTTGTTTTTGTAGCCAAAGTCAATGATTAATTTCTTCCTAAATTTTAAATGACAAATAATTTTGGCGTCAACAAATTAAATCAAAAGTGCTTTGTAAAATTTATTGTACAATTTATACTCTTTTGCAAGGCATTAACCATTGCAAAGTTCATGAAAAATAAGAATATTTATAGAGTATTTTAAGCATTTATGAGGAGAAGCTTAGACTGAACTTCAACACTTTGCGATATATTTGCTGAAATCTTAACTTTGAAACAAAGTTTTCTGTACAAAGCCTTTTCTGTCTTTGTGTTGCATAGAGCAAATAAATATTTTCAGTAAGAATGAACATTTTTTAGAATTTATTTTATCATTCAAAGTTATAAAAGACCAAAAAAAAATGTCATAGCAATTTTACTTTAAAAAATCAAACAATATTTAATCTTATATAGCAGACTGAATTACTACAATCTATCCCCTGAAAAACTTTAAATTAAGGCTAAATTAAATATTAAATAATTAGCTGCATTAAATTAAGAATTGTAATGATATGTCATAGCAATCGAACATTAGATTATCAGTTACTAATTTCACTAAAAAATTCATTCGATTGTAAAACAACGAAATTAATTAATTACAGTTTTAATTCTTCTGATTTCTTCTACAAAATATATTTGAAGTTTTTTAAAACAATGTGCAGACTCACGAGAATGGTCCGTTAAGTTGTTTATTGAGCATTTAAATAATAACCTTTATTTGCTTTCAAAACTTGATAAGCGCGCGAATTACATTTTATTATTTTTAGTTTTGTAATGAATTAGTATATATTTAAAGGTGCTTATATAAATGGATTAACATTTCTTGAATAGATAAATTGTTAAACTTTTATTATTCAGTCAGATAATTTACTGATTATACTAAATTATCTGATGAATTGAATCTACAAGTAGTTAAAACATTAAGCCTTAAATATAATTTTTTTTGAAGCAAAAAAAAGTATACAATTAAAAGTTTGATTTCGAGAAAATACATCAAATTTATGAACAAATTGCAAATTTTATATGTTTTCATACCGAATTGAAAAATTATTAAGAAGTGTCACACCAAATTTTTAAATAAAATCAGTGAAAATTTATCATCTAAATACTTCTAATTGTAAAAATTTGTAATGAAAATTTAGGCTTTCCAAAAAACAGTTCTGACATTTTTTGTAATTTGCACAGAAAGCGATTCAAAAGTTCCTCCACGATGTGATTTAATTTATTTGCTCATTAATGTTATGTCCTTTTTTTTGTGCAGTGTAGTTGAGTAAGCTCAAAATAGTTAGATAGACAATAATTTTAAATGAAAAAAATATTTTCACCCTTATTAGTTCAAATGCCGTGCAGCATTTAAAGCACTTGTCATACTGTACTTGTATATATATAACTCTGATTTGATGAAAAGTATTTAAGCACTAAAAAAGCGACTTTTAAATTAATCATGCAAGCTTTAGACATCTGCTGTTGTAAATTTCTGAAAGGTCTTTCATTTACAATTTCATTACTTATTAATTCACATTAAAGTCAAATTTTAATAAGAAATTTAAAGAAGTAAAAAAAAGATCAAGTAAATGCTTGCAATAATTATTTTTCATAAACAATTTTTGGCTACCATTTTTATCATTTATGCTCTTAATAATTTACATCAGGGAATAATATTTCAGTTTTTTGATTAAGCAATGATTAATGCATCGATGCTGACACGTATATGCGAAATTACGAATTGGATTTACGTGGAGAACACTACAATGCGTAATGTGTTCATTATTGAACTTATTAGTAGCATTATTGCTATTTTCGCTATTTCTATTATACTCTTTGCCATGCTTATCAATCGTACACTTCACTTTAATATGCGTTTATTACTAATATGTTTGTGTGGAGCATTTATACTTACTTCAATAGGTTAGCCTCTAGTCACGTTCAATTTATTTTGTGGAATTAAATTCCATATTTTACCTTTAAATAAGCACAATATTGTATATTGCAATGACGAGAAAAATAATTTGCGTCAAATTTGAAACACACTTTTGACTAAAAAAATTATTCATTTAGTAATGTATTTGAGTAATATACGATAAACTGTTAGCATTAAAACTTTGATTTCAATTAGCTTATAATTTCTAAAAGTTAATTAAATGAAAGATTCAAAAGTTGATAAGCAATTATTTGTTCATCCATAAGTCTATTCTAAACTTATCACAAACATATGAAGCAATTAGATAAAAAGGTTCAAAAATAGAAAACATTCTCGACAGCTTACATTGCAATAGTATTTTTAATCATATTTCTATTCAGATTCAGAGGTTACAGGAACACTTCTTGATTCTGTGTACTACTTGATAGCAATTGGATTGAAAAAGGGAGTAGAGCGTTGTGCATGGTTATTGTTCAAGAAATCAGAATGCATTGGTTTGTGTATTTTGACTTAAATTTTGAAAAATTATAAAAGTAATAAATCTTTGGATTACCTAATTATCTTTTGTAGTGTTATACTACTATTTTCTTCAGCTATGAATGGAAAAAGTGCGCAACACTGAAAAAGAATTATGAATAACTTTCATTTTTGTAAAAATGAAGTTTTTAGAAGTCAAATTTTGCATAAGCAAAAGTAAAATAACTTTTAGTATTGTTGCAAGTTGTGTATAAAATTGCAGCATTACGCAACGTGTATTATTTTGGTGTAATAATAATATTTGTTTCAACTTTATTTTTATCAGTTGAGAGGATCATTGCCACTATTCTATATCGGACTTACGAGCGTATAACACGTCGATGGATCAGCATTCTAATGGCATTTTTTCAGGTTCTTTAAAATATGATTTTTTCAATTAAAAATTTTTCGCAGATGTATAAGTTTGACTAACAATGCTTTCTGTAAAATGAAGGATATATTTCTTACTTAAATTTCTTAAACAAAAACAACCAAAAATTAACAATAGAAAAAATAGCGAAAACTAATTAAAGCATTTAATATGCCGGAATTTTTTTTATTTTTCATGAGGCAGAAAACAATAATTTTTGATTAAGCATTTATTAAACATATAATACAAAAATCAGTTCAACATCAAAATTGACGATTTTCATGTTGGAAATGGTTTTCGTTTACAATATCAACTCTATTATTTCACTACATCTTTTCTTCAAATCATTTTATTATTGCTACAAATGACAATCAGCACATTTCTTGAAAACTGAGTCAACATAGTTTATATGTTTATAGTCTGAACATAGTTTAAACTAAGACTTCTCACTTAAAAAGATGAAGCACTTATACAACCAACTATTTTATCAAATATGAATTTCAACAAGTATTTTAATAAAAATGTGTAGTTAGAGTATTTAAATGCAATAATTTTTTTAGTTGTAAAAGTTATCATAGACATTTCTGTCAGCAATTCAAGCTTTGTGTTTGATTGCAATTTACTGATTACATTTTGCAAAAAAATTGCAGTGGTCATTGATAATTCCACTGATATACTACCAAGATGAAGATATTGGATACATATTTCCTTACTGTGCCTATGAACTGTTTAATCCTCGAGCCTTTGCAAATATTGAACTTGGTGTTATAGCTATTCAAATTTTTTCGTTTGTTACTACTATAATTTTATGGATATACAATAGTAAACAACAAGTAAAAATTTTTAAATCTTTCAATGAGATAGAAATAAAATGCAAAATGAAAAGAATTATAATTTTAATTGGCTCCATGAGTGAATATATTAGTTTAAAAAGTTGCTAATTCATATTTCAATCCTGAAAGCTAAGCAAATGAAATGAAAGTGCTAATTTGAAGAATAACTGACGACAAAATATGTTTGAAATATGTGTAATAATGATTAGATTCGAACTGAAAATTCAATATTTTAATTACAATTGCAAACATTTAGCAACATTTTGTAGCATTAATTGTGACATGCTCTTTTAAGTATGAATGCAAATAGCAAACATAAAACTAATAAAAGTAAATTTGCAAACTTTTTGGATTAAAATAAACGAAACTCATACAATAAATTTGTAGTTTGACAAGTGCATTTCACGTTTCAGCTGCTGCGTAAATCTCAGAACAAAAATTTGAGTATACAGTATCAATTACGCGAAAATGTTTCAACAGCCAAAATAATGGTAGCAATAATTAGTCTAACAACAATACCAGTACTTTCCAACACTTTTCTCTACTTTGTTTCACCATACCGAAAGAATGATAATTACTGGAAGATTGTTGAAGAGATAGTCGTGTACAGTTTTTTTGCCGAAATACAGGTAGGCTTCTGTTTATAAATGACTTTGATAAATAATAAAATGACATAAAAATTTTTTTTAAACCTGGAAAAGCAGTAAAAAATAAACTTGGCTAGCCAACATGAGAGCCAGCGTGAGAGCTAACGCAATTTTCATATAATTAAATAATTATTTTTGTCAACAATAAACCTCTGGAAGATTTGTCCACAGAAATACCTTCAAATTAAAAACTTTATAGTAATGTACATGAGGCATTAAGACACTTTCTAATTTACTGCAAGTGCTTTTCAGGCCTGCTTCACGTCCGTTACTGCAATTCTCTTTGCTGTTGTTGTATGCTTAAAATGTAAAGCAATTCAATCATCGCTCTTTCACGTAATCGGTTTAACGTACTGTACCAAACTTTGGGGCAAAAATTCTGTCAATGCTGTACCAGATGATATTGTTTGTCGAACATACTTTGATCAACTTCATCACCAGTGGGGTCAGCACCATAACTTACCACTCCCTTTTAGTCTCACAAGAAACAATGATTTACAAAGTGGAATTACTCGGGATTTAAAATTTACTGCAATTAACAAATCAAACTGAAACATTCAGTTTTGCAAAGTATTTTATGCATAATTAAATAAGTGAAATGTACAAAAAATTGTTAAAACTTTTTTACTCATTTCTTGTTAAATTATGCTTTATTCATTGAATTGTAGACAGCATGTGATGTCATTTTCATTTTCAAAATATTTTGTGCGAAAATCTAATATAAAGAGAAAGTAAACTATTCTGTACAAATTAAAAATAAAAACTAATAAGCAATCAGTGTTAAAAAATATAGCATATAAAAACGAATATAGTACATAAAGTGTTGATTCAATCTTATCTGTTTATAAAATGGATATTGAAAGCCTTGTTTAAAAAAATGATATTTTAAATTCTGTTCCACAAATATTATAGAATTGGCATTTCAATATATATCGAATCAGTCTTTTGTTTATAATCAGTGCAATAGTTCAGAGGTTACGCTTTAAATTTCTATCATTATGTAATAATACTTTTGAAATAAGCTACTTTTTTGAAATTATTTTTGGCATATTTTTCTATATAATCATTAGATAGGACTAAATGTTTACTGTAATGAAACTAGCGATTTCGGGACAGAAATTTATTTGCTGAAGCAAAAAATAGAGATTCGCAAACCTTGTCAGATAATAATTATTTCAAGGACACAGTTATTAATATATTTTCATTTAAAACCAAGGTAATAATCATTATTTTGGATTGAAATGATATTAATTCAATTTAAGCAGGATTGGATTAACTCTTTGCAACGCAGATCTTTTTGTTAAGTCTAACACTAATTTTTTATTGCTTATTAAATCTTATTTTTATCGCAGTACGTTCATTCATAACGCACTTTTTATCAGCTGTTATACAGAACAAACATACAGATTTTAAAAAGTGTTTAAAATTTGAGAGATTGAATCAAATTAACTGAAAGACTTAAAATGATCTTGCATAAATGATTTCTAACGCAATTACTGGTAGTCGAGCGAAAATTAAATTTTCACTTTTCAGTATTTCTTTAAATTAAGGTTTAAATCAATTACCTTGGTAAGTAAGTGTAAGTTATAAATTGAAAGCCGAATTATTGCAGTCTAAAATCTTTTTCACTTTATTCTTACTATTTTCACATTTTAAACTGCTTGTTTTCAAAATCTGATCTGCTGGCTTCACAGAATGTAATATTTCATACTCGATAGTACTTTGGAATAATACAGTCATGCAATTATCACTTAAAATTTACTGCAAAACAATTTTAAGTAAAACTTATTGCACTGATAATTTTTGAAAAACTATTAAGTAAAATCTAAGTAACTTGCATTTTATTACTTCTAGTCATGCAGATTTTTTCATTCATTCTTACCAAATATTTGCATTCACTGACACTGAATAAAAAATTCAAGCTTACTTGTCAAGTCTTACATATATTGTTAGTATCAAAGTTGCGCGGTCGTATTTGCAAAATTGGCAATAGATTATCATTTGTGGGCAGAAGAAAAATTTTTCCACCTGAAACGGATAGTTAGATAATTTCCATCATGCACATTACAGCTGTTACTATCATTTTACTTTCCATTGTAAATTTTTAAAATTTTTGATCTAAATCTTCATAATTTTAGCATTTTTTAACATCTACTAATCAATAATTTTTTCATATAATTCTTTTAAAAAACATTGATGAACTTTTGACTTGAAAAGTTTATACTTCAAGATTTGATGGATTACTTGAGATTTTAATTAATTTGTATCTAAGATAGCGATTATTAACTCATCTGGGCGAAATGGGACGCATAAATCTGGTCAGATAAAAGCGACTGGACAGGG